GATACAATCAGAAGCTACAGTGAAACAAAAGGTGGCAAAAGAAACAAATATATTCACAACAACACTTATCCAAAAGAAGATTAGAGATAGGATAGCAACAACAACACTGAACAAGATTAAAGCATATATAGGAGAAAAATATAATGATCACATAGACCAGCTGGCCAAAAAAGGCAACGAGTTTGACTATATACACATCATAGGTATAAACTGTCAACATATAAAAGGAATAATAGGAATGCTACAATGGAATAGTAAAGACCTGGACATAGGAACCAATGAATTCATAAAGCAATGGCAAAACACTAAGTGAATCAATACATGGGCAACACAAAGGAGACACAAAGCATAGCTAAACATAGGCGATGAGAAAATGATAGATTGGAGAAGGACGTAGGCAAGCCTGTTACCATCAAAGATTACAAGCTTTTACATCAATCAACAAGATTATAACAACAGAGGATTCAGATACAAACTACTCAATAAAGAGCTTTCCACCAAGGACAAGATAAATGAAAGAAGGCCAGACATATACAAGGATAAAATATGCCCTTGGTGTAATAGATAAGAAATCACAAAATATGTGTTCAGCGAACACTACAGGAATAAAATTAGAACTACATATCTACAAATACTAAAAGAAGAAATAGTAAGCAGAATAAAAATACAAGAAAGAAGAAGGAATTGGAGGGAACAGCTTGAATTCATCATCAACGACTCAGAAAGAACTATTAGGTACATAATCAAGAGAATCTACGAAAAGAATCTCACTAAGCTGGTGAAACAAATCAATGGGAAAAAATTAAAGATACACTGAAAACAGTCACAAACAGAATGACAGAGAAACTCTGAAAACTCTGGATCCACTGATGTGAGAGATTCCAGCAATAGGAAAAAGAAGAAAACATAAGTAGAAGAGAGAAAAAGGGAAAAAAACAAAGACTCCAAGTAAATATCCAAGCCACACACACAAGGCAGCACAGGTCACTATTCGAAAGAATGGAAGAAGCAAGAAGACTACAAGAAAAACTCTTAAAGAACTGGATAGACTGGAAAAAAAATATAATAAATTTCAATTTCTTTTATTATTCATACAATAACAACACTAACAAAGCCTAGGCATATTAGCCTTGACATATACCGCAAGGTAAATCAATAACAACAAGTCGATATGGAGTCAAATCGATATAGCAAAACATGCACCTAGAATAGTTTATAGATAGTAAGTCTTGTAACAAGAAATATACATGTAAACTAAATAAAGTATGTTGGGCAAGGCCTCGCTAGTTGAAAAAAAAAATCAATTTTATATATTTATTTTTTATCTAGTTTGAATTTTTGATATATTTACTTGTAAGTAAGCATTAATTAAATGTGAAAACATTGTCGATGTCTACTGTACAAATATTAATACTTGCAAAAAATATATATAGAAGCATAAAACAGGTTTTTGAAAGTCATAAACTTATCAAAAATAACTTATTTCTTGCTATAAAGAATAAGTAAAAAAGAAAACAAAATTGATTAGCTACTTATATTCTGTATTGAAAATTGCTATATGCCTTCAGTAGGAAATCTTGGACTAGTGCAAGCAAGATATTTTTGTTACAAAAACTTGCTTATGGATATCAAACAACATTAATGTTGCCTCCAGTAGGAAATCCTGGACTAATAACCTATGTTGTGTCAACTTGCAGCCAGATATATTGCAGCAATGTATGTCATGTATCTCCAGTGAAAAACCCTGGACTAGTATAAACAAACTGTGTTGTTAAAATATTGTTTTTAGTGGGAAACCCTAAACTAGTAACAGAAATTTTTGTTGATTGCCATGTTTGCATGCATGTTTCCAGTGCTTTGACTGTAAAAGTCTAGCTACTATAAGCAGTACAGTTGATAAACAAGTACTGGTATATACAGGACTGTTGATTATTTATATTTCATATAGCAAGATTATACAGTATATATATATATTAAATTGTTTTTTCTATTTATTATTAGAAATTTTTATTACTGCCTTATATTTTTTTGTATTACAAAAAATTGATGATCAAATAAAATATATTTCTTTTTTAAACAATTCTATTCACAATTTGTTAAGTATTCACCTGGCCATTTCTAACCCTACTATTGATTCTTACCAGAATGCAAATATATTAAAAGTTTCTATATATATTTTTAGAATTATTAATAATAAAATAAAAAATAGGATAACTGGTGAAGAGATTTCTTGAGGTTCTTTAATTGTTGTGAAGATAACATGAAAACTGCTATCAATTCTTTGAAAATTAATATTGCTGAAACAAAAAAAAAACAAAAAAAAAATTCATAAAACTTTGTAAGTCTAAATTTTACATGTTTTTTTAAAACCTATATTAATTTAATTATATTATATTGTAAGTTAGAGAAAATCTCTTAACTCAAAAATATCTTAACAAAGTATATGCAATAAAAATAATATTTTTGAATCCTATTTCTGATTATGATAAAAAAAAATAAAAGGATAGTAGATTTATAAGAAAAAAAACCCACTGCCTCCTCATATATCTGCAATCAATACTGCCTTTTGTCTTGTAAGAATAATAAAAAAAAATAAAAAAATAATAATTTGTAACAAGATCTTAAACAAAATAATACTTACTATATATTGAAATCAAATTGATCCTGATGTACTTGAACTTATAAGAAACACAATTGCCAATATGTTTGTTTTACAAAGACAAGTTGCTAAATTATCTAAAATAAAAAAATTGAATTAAGGTACTTTAATAGTAGCAGGGTATATTATATTTAAATAAATTTATTTTTGATTTTTTAAATTTTATTAATATGTAAATATTTGCAGATATCTTTTAACAAGAGAAAGTAGAATTTTTATACATGTCCACAACATATCCGTTAAATTGCGAGGATCTGAAAGACAATATTTACAAGAAAAAAATATTGTAGCAATAAACAGTATTCTTTTTAACTATGTTATAAATATATTTTTCAAAGATATAACTTCAAGTATCCCAAAAAAAAATCAAAAAATTTGATCTTTTCCAATTAGATAACAATCAGTATAATGCTATTGATAAAGGAATTATGATTTTTTGCAATGACAAAAAATTTTTTTAAATTATTCTTTAGATCTTTATGAGGCTTATATAGCCTGGAAATATAGTAAGTTTACATATATCTATATTTATTTTTTAGAACATGTAATTGTAGCAACTTGTTTAAGAGAAATATAACCTGCCAATAGTGATGAATTCGACTGTCAAGAAAAAGATTTTAATGGTAATAATTTTTATTTTGCCAAATGAAGAATTAAAGTAGAAATAACAGGTATTTTTTTAGAAAATATTCTTTACTATTGGCCAGAGAATGAATTATATGGCACTATATTCTTGCTGATAAAGGATGTAACTTGTGGACTGTCTTAAAATTTAACCAAAAAAACAGTAACAATTGTAAAAAAATAAAGAAAAGAAAAAGAAAAAAAATATTGTGTGAATTACTGACATAATCAATTATTAACAAATTCCTATGCTTTACAAGCTCTTGAAAAATCAATAAAAAAAATAATGAAAAAAATAATACCAATTACAAAGAAACATATATAAATATAGAAAACAATAATCGATTATGGATAAATTAGTAATTTTAATAAATTTTATTTATAATATTAATTTATATTTAAAAATAAAAAAATTTTGATTAACAATCTTTTAAATTAAATTAAAGTAAATATATTATAATAAAAATTATTATTGACAAAATAATTGAAATGAATTGAATTAAATCATATACAAATCAAATCAAGTAAAATTAGATTTGAACCAGATTCAAATCAAATTGAATCAAGCTATACCATATCTAATTTGAATTTGAATTGAGTAAATTTTTGCATTTTTACAGTAAGGGACAAAAAAAATTGCTATCCCAATCACATTATAACAAGCAAACTACTGTGTCAAGCAATATGTAATTTACAGCATAAATAGGTTAAGTCTTAGTAAAAAAATTAGTATGATATTTTTTTGTCATTTCGCTCAATTACTTTCTGACACCTCCACTCTATCGATATTAGTAAATTTTTTAAAAGTGAGTTGGAGGTTTTTTCCTATTCTTCGACCATATATTCTTCTAATTCATCCAAATTACTCAACATATATTTCTCTACATTTCTCTTGATCACAGCTTATAGGTTCTTTATAAGGTTCAAGTTAGGACTGTTGGATGACCAGTCAATAACTTCTGACACACTTTCTTGAAAAAAAGTCTTGATAAGACAGCTTGTGTGCTTCGGATCATTGTCCTGCTGCCACCGCCACTGAGTACCAAGCATCCTATTCACCTCAGGTATATGCTCACAAGAATATTGACATAAAGCTTAGCATCCATTGTCTCTTTGAAACAGTGCAAATTTGATTTTTCTCTTTCAAAAAACCCACTCACGTCATAATCTTTTTACAGTCCTTTGGAATAGAACTGTTTTTTCTAATTTTTTGATGTTATAATGGATTGTTCTAATGGGAATCTTTGTTATTGCATGTAATTCTTGAGTGTTGTGCACTCCCTCATTCCAATAATACAAAAAAACTTTGCGTTAATTCTTTTTCCTTGCAACCAACATTTCATTAACATGTTTTGGCTATAAGCCGGAACATAGTAGAACATAAGAAGTTGGAAAAAAAAACCTTAAGTACCTGTGACCTCAAAACAAAATGCAAATCATTACCAAGTTAATACAAGAACATATTACATTAAATTTAATTACATGAAAAATTAGGCAATTTTTTTTGTCCCCTACTGTATATTTTTACCAAAAAAAGCCAAAAATCATGCAACAGTAAATTTTATAAAAAATTTTTTTAATATCTTAATCACTATTCTACTGTATATACACTGTATATACTGTTAATTTCGCCATGATTTGATCTGATCTGATCAAAATTTTAACACTTAAAGATCGATGATCAGGTGTTGCGTTCTTTTTGGGAGACGATGTAGCATCAGATATCGAAACCTGGGCCTCCAATCCACGTCTCGCATATCTCAAGTCTAAAAAAAAAGAAATAAATTGATCCAATGATCATGGATTATGTAAGACTAACAATTGACTCGCAATACAACCTTATATACTATTATTTGTTCTTGTGAGTTTTTTTGGGGGGAGGCTATTGTTTCTGGGAGATTATCTATTGTAAATAAATCCTCTGACTTTGTGCGTAAAGTAATTAATTTTATTTTCTTAACAGTATCAAGAACATTGTTTATATCTTTCTGCAATTATTGAAAACAATTAGAAACTGAAATTTATAAAAAATTGACAATATAAAGACATACCTTTAAGCACAGAATATCTTTTAAAGACATGAGACTTTCCGGAATACTTCCCCACGTAGTACCGATCCGATATCGACATGTCTCAAAGACGAAATAATGTTGAAGGTCATTATCGTAGTACATTGCATAGATCTTTCCGTTAAAACCTTGAATGTAAAGAATGGGTCTCAGCCAAGAGTGAAAGATAATCAATACAAGAATTTCTCCATAACTACCTCCTTGATTTATTCCATGTACAACAATGTTCTTTATCCATCTAATTGTTTCCCTTGTAAATTTTAACTTCTTCAAGAAACGGTCTAGTTGATCCTTAATTTCTCGCAAAATTTTATGCTTGCAGGAAATCGGTTTGGAGTTTTGTGGATCTTCGTCAACGTATGTTTCTGAACCGAAATATTCCACATCGTCAATACGAAATAGAATATCAATTTTGGGTTCAGATTTTTTTTTTTCTGACTCATCTCTTAATAAGTTTTTACGTTCAGTAGATGCCAACGATATCTCTTCACCTCTGAAGTGGCAGAAAAAACAATTTGGATAAATATTAAGACACAAAGCTAAGAAATTAACTATCGCAATAAATTTTATTAGAAAACTTTATACTAACCGATGAATTTGAATTTCTTCACATGTCAAAAAGCAATCATCAATCAACGGAGTCAAGACATGACAATTCAGCCAACCTTCAGAGTTTTTATCCAAGAGCGGATTTCGTGGAGCTTCAAAAAACAATGATCTAGGTATTAAGACGAATTGTTATGGGATGGGTTATATCATAAACAATGCAAAAATTCTGTCCATAGAAACGAGAACTAAATAAGACTCACAGTTTGTCAGCAAAACGATGGACCCAATGTATTTCATAGAGTTTGCTAAATGAATACGTTTCATCTGGTAAAACAAATGGAAGTTGAAGTTTGTTACGGAATTTATTGCGAGTATCAGACTGAAATCATATATAAGGAAAAGTGTTAGTAATATTAATAATGAATATAAAACAAAGAAATTGTTAGTGAAAAATCCTTAGAAATACATTATCGATTAATTCATCGATATATTTTGTAGCCTCATTAGTGAAAGGATCCCATGTATAATCACGTTCGATTTTCAATCTATCCATTAAAGGCTTGTTTGTTGTGTCAATTATATTTGAACAGATTGGTTCACTATAATCAAAATAGGGACAATTAGTTAGTTAATACGATATAGGAATATAAATTGACTTTAATAGACATGTCTTCACTTACTACGTGGATTTCACTCGCTGTTTTTCTTGCCTTAATCGTTTAAGTAAGTCTTGATTTTTAGATGTAGAGCAAATTTGATGAGGCGGAGTACGTGGTATATCCCACCCGGAACTATTAACATCGTTCATATCACAAGTCATTTCCGTAGCTCCTCTGCTAGACCCTGTACTTTCTGTCTCAATTGGCATTTCCAAGGATAGTGAACCTGATAATGACGATGTAGCCTTTGAACGTGTAGATCCTTCGGCTCTATTATTGCTAATGAAATCATCGTCCTCCACATCCCTGCTGGAGGATTTGGTCTATTTATACAAGAAAATTTTTTGAGAATTCGCTCATCATAGGGTCGCATTCTATACATACCTTCTTTGATCCTTTATTCTGTAGATACATGTATCAAAGTTGCTGTTAAGAAATATTCGCATAAACTTCAAGGCAACATTTTATATAAAAAAAAAATTATTGTTATATCCTAACCTTTGATAACGACAGATTTTTTTTTCGTTTTTGTCTAGGTTCCAAGCTATCGTTCAAAACGCGTCTTTCAAACTTATTAGTAATTGTCTTTCGTAATAATAAGCCCTGTTCTCGGGTGTCTCTTGTCACATCCAGAATATGATGGGTCTAAAATAAACTTTCAGTATGCTGACATCAACGATTTTAATAAGAAAATAAACATATTAACCTGTTCAAGGCAGATCTGAGTTTCCATTTTGTTCTTCATAGAATCGTTTGCGAGTTATTAGAAAATATTATCAAAACAGTCATTAAACTCGAAATATCATAACTTACTTGCTCCTTCTCAAGTAACTTAATCTCCATTTCAATATTATTTCTCTTAACTTGCAGATCCCAAAAATTATTTATTTGATACGAGTTTTTATCATTCTAACGATTATAAAGTTCGCTTTTAGAATTTGTAGCACTCCACTTTACGGTGTGCTCACCAACAAGTACGAAACCTTTCCCACTGCCAGTACGAAATCAGCATGGTAGTCGGTGACAATGCAAAATAATTTACATACTAACACACCGCAATTTATGGCATGCTCGCCAACAAGTACGAAACCTTTCCCAATGCCAGTACGAAACCAGCATGGTAGTTGGTGACGGCACAAGCCTCTCATCTACAAGTACGAAACCTTTCCCAATGCCAGTACGAAACCAGCAAGGTAGTTGATGACAGACCTACACACTGGCACACCGTTTACACTTACCTTGAAATCTTGTTTCCACTTTAGAACCTTCTGCCCAACTTCAGACGATTCAGAATAATACTTGCTGATAATATTTAGGTCACTATTGTATCGAAGATGCTCCGTTTCCTCAGCTTCAAGGTTTCCTTCATGTAATCGAAACTTTAAATATTTGTGGAGTGAGGGTGTGTCCGTACTCTCCCAAAAGGCTGCATATTTTTACAAACAACAGATTACGCTATAATTGATGAAATATTAACGCCATTGCAGTTTGTCTTACCACCGGATTTAAGAGCTTTAAGACATTCGGTTGTCAATTGCATTTTTATGAAAGACGGTTAAGAATATAAATAGATCGGCCAATTTATATTTATTCGATATAGTTACGTGACGATCACGTTGGCGTTACGCGATCGGCAAGGAATTCGTTATCAGTTACACAAGTTTTCATATATAATTTTTATACAAATTAATACAATTACATTTCAACAGTTTCTCATAAAATCTTAGTCAAAAACAAATAGGTTGTTTTAAACAATGTTGTTAAGAAGGTTTCTACGAACAAAACGGTATATAGAATATACAAAAATAAAGTCTTCTTATAAAATATAACGTTTCAGAAAATAACAAATATTTTTGTTATTTTCTATTAAATTATTCTTCAGTTTGTAAATTTTTAGCATGAAAATGAATTACTAGTTACATCAGAGCAAGGGCTTTTGACAAAATGCATCCTCAAAAGGGTTGTACATTATAAATGTGACAGGAAAAAATCAAGAAAAGTAGTTTTCTAATATGTAAATAATTTGCTTTTTATCTATTTAATTTTATTTTTAAAGATCATTTTTATAGTTTAATCTATACATGTTGCTGAAATTCATAGATCCTTGACACAATTGACGCAATTATTTGATGCAATTAATTGAGTCACTATTAAAACATATAAATAATTAAGTCATGACGCAATTATTTTTAAGGATTTTGTGAATTAAGTCAACAGCAAAATAATTTACGTCACATGTATAGTTTAATCTATTCACTTGTGATCTTAATAATTGAATAATATTAAAGTAATTCTGTATGTTTTTTCATTCTTTTATAACAGTTATATCATTGATTTCGAATCATTTTTAGTATTTAATAATTAGTATATTGTAATAAGTTTTTAATTAATCTATTAATAACTTTATTTGGCAATACAATGGATTTTTTATATATTTCAAGCTATCCTAGGATCTGTTTTTTAACAATAGTAGACTTATGTAATATATATTTTGTTGAATATAATACTTCTAATACAAATTCTGAAGATAAATCAGTTTTATACAATGGCATTAATAATAAGTCTTTACTAGTTTCTTTAATCTTTATACTATTTAGTTTTGGAGCTTGTACAGTATAGCTATCTGTTTTTTTCATTATGTTATTAACTTTTGCTCTCACGTGTTTTCTATATTTCATAACCTTAACCTTTATAGTGTTGTAAGGAAAATAAATAGGCTTGATATGGTACAGTAACGTGATATATTTATCATACATTAGTGATAGATGCTGAAGTTTTTTGAGCTTAGAGTAATTTGCATAATGCGACAGTAAATCATTGTACATATTGCTAGTAATATAAATAGATGTAGAATAGTCTAGCAGTAAGTATAATTTGTAATCTTGTAATTGGTAATCTTTGTTTAATAAAGAAATAAACTATTATTTGTACTTGTTATTTATTTCTTTATAAAGACTTACTAATGTTCCATGGAAAATTCAAGGAGGCTGGAAAAGAAAACTGCAGTATAGATTAAGTACCAAACTAGTAATAAAAGAAAAGCAAGTTCGTGAAAGCACTTGGCCAAATCGATACATATCTTAAGAGAGAAAAAAACTTACAAGAATCCTATTATTACATAAGTACTAGTTTCAGAATAGTGACAGACTTACTGAAAATAATAATAATATTTAGTGGTAACAATGAGAATAAATACTTGTTACCCCACTTGATAAAAATTGTGGATACCAAAAATTAGGAAAATTTAATTAATTATCAAATACTATTGTTCGTCAAAACAAAATAATTACCTTTTTAAGAACAATTGTAAGAACCTGTGACATAGTATCGTGATCTGCCTTGATTACTAATTAATAGCAATAATAATAGGAATTATAGATGATATAATTGATTAGTGAATCTCCCTGCTTCGTGATAACAATATATTTGAAAAGAAGAAAAGAATACTTTTACCAATCTAAAAGAAGAAAAAAAAGTCTGTAATGTTAGAATATATAAGTTCAACAATGAAGAAAGATATGACGCATATTTGTGGATTGAGTTCTATGAAAAGACTGCAAAATTAAGAAAATGAATAGACAAAGAAAATTAATAAAAGTAGCCAAATACTTAGAAGAAAAAGGAACAGATTAATATGAGGGCTGCCAAGATTATTTCAAATTTTGAAATGATAGAAATGACTGTAAAAAAAGTTTTGTGCTAATGTTTATGAGCCATTTTGTGATGCTTGAACAATAACATCAATAGTAAGAAAAATTAGAGAATATAAAGCAAAAAAAAATGAAAATGTGTTCAAGTATATCTGCAGGTTTATACAGTTACTCAAGAAAGTCTATCCTAAAAGTAATTATCATAAGATAGTGACTGAATAAATGATTATATTGAAATTAAGAAAAGACCTACTATTTGAACTTGCAGTAAAAAATGTAACTTTCTCAGCAGAAGTACTTAAAGTGACAACAAATATTGAGACCAATACCAAAAAAAAATTAACTGAGAAAAGAAAATTAGAGTGTTATATACAAATATTAAATCAACAAGTACTAAAAATGAAAAAACATATGACATACCTGTTGTTCACATTGAGTTCAAAATTAAGAGACATTGTGATAAGAATTGTTCAATAAAGATGGACCTGACTAAAAAGAAAAGAAAGGTTGTACCAAAGTCACTATTAGTAAGGGAGGATTACCTAGGAATTGGTGTGAAGCTCAAATCTTGTGACCTAAAGTATAATAATGATGACATGTCTCAATCTAAAGAGGAAACAGATATACATGTCTTTGTGAATAGGAAGCTATGTTAAGAAAGCAAGGAAAGGTTCTGATCTCAAATAATGAAACCGAGAAGTCCTATACTGACAAGATTGATAACAGACCTGATAATGAGAACAAAAAAACTGTTTTGCAAATCAAAGATCTGTATAAAAAGAGAAAAATGAATAAATATGAGGAAGAATAGTTAATCTCCTTTGAGGAGAATGAAGAAAAAGCAACAAAAAAGATAAATAGTAGTCCTAACTCCAATAATGAAATATGACCAGAGATCCTAGGCCCTGTTGTGTGATTTTCCTAATAGGAAAAAATGTTGGCAGTAATCCAAGAGAACTCTAAAGTCAATGAAACTAAGGGAAAAAGAAATGAACCAAAAGAATAACATGAGTTATCAAAGAAAGTGAACATAGAAGAACAAGATGATCCAGTAATAAAGAAATCATTAATATTATGTAATGAAGATTGAATTGTGAAAAAGAATATAAGAATTAATAAAAGTTAGAATAAACTATTTATAACAATAGATAAGATACTAGAAAACAAGCAAAGTGTTTGTATAACTATGATCCAACAGTTAGGATACTCTAAGATAATGCAATATACCAATGATACTAGTAATGATATCCTGATCAAAAAAATATATATATAAGACCACCAGACTGCAGAGAGATGGATCATAATGAGAGAAATTATATCTATAATTATCTGGAAAGTGTATTTACCAGGTGACAAAATGTCTAAACTGCACACCATTCCGGCATCATGATAACAAGTAATGAGATTGTTTCTATGTGAATACAAAAATAAGTTCCTGATAGTATACTTGAGTATCTTTGCAACACTAGTACTTTACACAATAATGAGAATTTATAGGACAGTTTGAACAAAGGATCCAGTAAAAGAACTCTTGATCAAGCATGCAAATATGACCAAGAGGATCATTCAGAAATCCGAGTGCGTAGTGGTGATGCAATAGACCATTAATATAAACAATGATGTCATAGATAACTGCAGAACCAGAAACGTTACAAAGAAGTCAAATAATGAAAAGATGATATTGACAATTATAGAACATTCATGCATATTAAAAGATATAGTGAGTGCAGAAAAGATCTGGACTTTTGTTTTATTATACAAAAAAGTATAATGACAAATAAATTCTGGATAAATACATTTTTGTAATGAGTTATTTATATTAAATGACTCATATGCACTGGTTTATATAAATAACTCACTATTTTAAGCTGCCAAATTAGTACTAGACATGAAAAATGTCATCTAACACTGATTTCGTTATGCAAAAAATGGTCATAAGGCAGTTATGAAATAATGGTATAAAAAAACCTACCAAAATTGTATGGATTACAGGTTTTCCAAAAAGCACAACATATGATTATGTAAATCAACTCAAAAAAAGAGGCACACTTGTTTTACTTCCCATTCCTGGAAGATCCAAAATTCTTACAGTAAAAGAGCATTGTCATATTGGACAACTTACACAAGCCAATAATATGATTACTGTCACTGAAGTGGCTGCCAAACTTAATAAAACCCACCTCAACTTAAATATATCAGTTCATACTATCCAGAAAGTTCTTAAAAAGAACCTCCAATATATTGTTTGCCAATTGTTACATGTTCCCTTTCTTCAATCCTCCCATATTGCTACCCATTTTGAATGGGTCCATGAACATATGCAAGACAAGTAAGGCTCCGAAAAAATACTGAACTGATATCAAACTGGTATCGAAATGGTACTGATCTATAGTAAATTTAATATATGGGTTGTAACCTACTTATATGTTTTTATAGTAAATTTAAGTATTGAATTGATATCAAAGTGATATCGAAGTGGTATCATTAGGAGTTCTAAAGACAAGTGCTCTAGCACAATTTTTTTTGATAAAACAATATTACAAATGTTTAGAAATATATAACAAGTAAGTTACTGTCATGAAAACCCACATCTGCACTATAGCATGATAAAATACCTATTTAAAATTCATGCATAGGGAGCGTTTTCTGCACGGGAGCCAATAATACTAGTTTTATTTACAAAAAATCTTAACTCATAAAGATATTGCGAAATTTTTGAAATCCACTTTTTCCCTAATACTTTGTAAGCAGGTCAAAGCTGATGTTTTCAGCAGAACAACTCTCCCATTCATATGGCTCAAGTTACATGTCAGCTTTTTGAAGATCACTGTGTTTGAATGCTTGACTGGCCTTCAAATTCATTTGATCTGAATCCTATAAAGAACCTATAGGCCATACTAAAAAATAGAGTAGAGAAAACCATAAACAATAGGCTTATAAAAAAAAATTGGCACTACTGATTTTTGGTCAATTATTCAAAAAGAATAAGATGGTTTAGATCAAGACCTCTACCTTAATTTAGCAGATAGTATAAAAAACTATCTTGAACAAGTAATTGGGAAAAAAGGAAAAAAATCTAACTTGATATTTATGTGTTTTTTTTTTATGATGATTGTCTTCATTTTCACAAATTTTATATAAATAAAGTCTATTTTATAAGTTTTTTATTAGTCACGAAAAAAGTTAAGATTTTTTTTGCAACCACTATACAACCATTACAACTTGCAACTTACCTGTAATAGATCAAAGACTGCAGATTTTATACTGGCAAAAGATTGAGGAAAAGATTATGATATATTACCTGAGTATTCTTGCCACAAAGTTTAAGGTAAATGCTACTAGTTTAACTAGAAGAACAAATCCAATAGTTGATAAGATAGAACAAACAAGTAGAAATATAGAGTAACCAAAACAACTTTTAGAAGTGTTTTGGGACCCAGAACCATCATATGAGCTGAATTGAAAATTCGAAAACAGTCCAGATTGGAATCACAAAACAATAACTAGTATTACATATAGGCTAGTATTAACATAAATAATTAATAATAATCAAGACTATATAGAATTAGACGTAGAAGCTATAAATGAAACAGGATATCAGTTTAGAATTAATAACAATTATGAAGATATAAAGGTAAGCAGATAAGAGATGCTTTATAGACTTTGAAATTTTGATATACCATATGATGAAGAACAAGAAGTCAGAAAATGCAGGCCCAAATTGAAACCAACGAGTATACAACAGAATGGCAGCACTGTTAATCTAACCAGTACAGTTCAATTATCAAATACTCTATCACCACAAATAACAACAAATATTAATAAGTTAGTGATTGAATAGATAATATAATATCTCAACTGATCGATAAAAGAAGTACTATAAACCAAAGGAATTGGTTTAAGGTTATATGTGGAGTGTATAAAATAAGTGTAGGAGAATGTTGTAGAAAAAATGAATAGATTTGATGTGATACAGTAATATGATGCATTTATCATGCATCAGTAATAAGTGCTAAAGCTTCTTAAGCTTAGAGTAATTTGTACAATGTGACAGTAAATAATTGTATATATTGCTAATAATATAAATAGATATAGGATAGTCTAGCAGTAAATATAACTTGTAATCTTGTAATTGATAATCTTTGTTTAATAAAGGAATAAACTATTATTTGTGTCTATTACTTGCTTCTCTATAGAAACTTGCTAGTGTTCTGCAGAAGATTCAAGAAGGCCAGAAAAGAAAACTGTAATATGAATCAAGTATTAGACTAGTAATAGAAGAGAAGCAAGTTCATGAATACACTTGACCAAATCGATACATGTCTCAAGAGAGAAAAAAACTCACAAGAACTTTATCATTACATGAGTTCTAGTTCCAGGATAGTGACAGACTCACTGAAAATAACGATAACAATAGATACCAAATCTCATTTATTTTATCCTACTTTCACTTGTATAACAATTTATTCATTAAATTATAAGACATTTTTTTTATAACATTTAAAATTTTTTAAATAAAAAATTGTTTTTCATTTATTTTTTTAAATAATCAAAATATTTTCTATAATAATAGTTTTAATTATATATTATATATTAATAATATTTATTTTTTATTTATTTAATAATAATATAGAGTTTAATTATAAGCAAAAATTTTAATTTTATAAAAAAAAATTTTTAATAAAAGTTTATCTTAAACAAACTTAAAAATTTTTTAAATTAAAAAAAAACTCTTTTCTATTTCCCCTTCTATACTTGAAAATCTTCTTTTTAGAAAATTTTTGAGTTGTTTACTTTTTTCTTTATTTTTTTCTTTCCTTTTCCTTTATGCTCCCCTTCCAATATCTTTTTATTTCTTTTTCCCTATCTTTTCCTCTCTTTTCTATATATATATTTTTTATTTTATATTCTCTTCTTCTTCTTTCCTCTTTTTTTTTCCTGCTGAAGCTAGGTTTTCTCTTTTTCTTAAAAATTTTCATCTCTAGGCCTCTCCTTTTTTTGAAACTCTGTCTCTATAACATTACTCCTCTGGTTAGTTGACTTCCTTTTCCCAAGAGCCATATAAAGAAGTAGTAACATTTCTTAGAATATGGGCTTTAGGAAATTTTTTCTCTTCCATGGTCTCTCAGAAAAAAGATAGACAATTTACCTCTCCAAAAGATCAATATGGTTATCATTACCAAATCCAATATTGTTTATTGATCAACGGTTAGATTAAATATGCTCAAGAAGTCTTTGTACAACTATTATTATCTAAAAATATCCAAGGAGTTGTGTTCTACAATATCCAGAGCGAAATGGCAACCAATGCCAATGCAACTAGCAATAAGCTAAGTTAGTTACAGGTGTCATACTGGTGATTGAAGAACTTAGTAGGATAATACGTGATGACTCAGGATTCTAGTTACTCTTGCAACATGAGCTGGTGATGACAACAAATATTTCTTATTTACTTCTCTGACAATGTAGATCTATTGTATAAGATTAGATTCCAGTGCCATTAAGAAAACCAATATGAACTTTACCTATAAGACACTTTTGCCATACTTGAAGCATGGATATGCCAAAATCTTTTTTGTGACTTGAAGAAAAACTTGTATAAAGTGGCTATAGCATCTTTATGCAAAAAGATATTCTCTTCCCATCATCTTCAATACTACTCTGCTTGCTGTACATCAAGTCATATTTGAAAAGCAGGTGTGCCAATCCTAATTATGACTTGAAGGCCAATCTGTATAGATTGGTTGCAGCACCTTCATTTAATTAGGTATTTATTTATTTCTAGATAGCTAGATGCCATTCAAGGCAATA